AGATTGTTCCATCTCTCTTCTCTCTGGGCTTGCTTTAGGTGATCTGGAAGTCTGGTTTTGAGACTTGTTTACGTGTGTTCTCATTTCAATGGCGGGGGGGGCGAGTGCTGCTGGCATCTGAGCAGCTCACTTCCTCAGCACTGGGCAGGGCTCTGCTCCTCTCAGGTAACAATTTTTCTACAGATTACAAATTTCAGAGTTATTCAAAGGAGCAGTGACCGAGATCCTTTACAACCACAATTCACAGAAGGGTTCAGGCTCCTATGAGAACCAAATGCTGCTACTTATCTAGCAGGAAGATTAGCTCAGGCATAATTCAACTGAGTAGCTATAAATAGAGATGTAAATTCCATTGCTTGCCACTGTCTACCTCTTCCTGTGTGGGACAGTTCTTAACAGGCCGTGAATCAGTACCAGTCCCTGGCCCAGGGGTTGGGGATACCCTGCAATAGAGAAAAAGTAACTTGTTTAACAACATTTTAGAATTTGCATTATCCAGGGTCCTGCTTCAAGCTGACGAGAGTTGTGTAGATTCACATACAAAAGCAAGTGTGTCCACTGATCAACAGTGAGAGAAGCATCCAACAAGTCAGATATCCCTTCTCCTTCTCCCTTGCCCCATGCTCTGCAAGAATCTGATCACAGAAGAAACCAAATTCCAGCTTCCAGTGATGCCATGTAAGATATTAAGCCCTTTACATAATATTAGAAACTATGTGATAAGAAGCTGAAAGAAATTATGAGAATTAAGACTTCTGTTTCATGTCACACATTCATGAAATTTGAACTATAATGTACAGTCACAAATAAAATAAAAAGAAATGTAAAAATTATTTATAATGATGAAAGTTTCAATTCTATTTCAAGTTTCACTTTAAAAATAATACTAGCAGAGAAATTGGGCCCTCTGTAAATCTATTCTACCAGAAAAGCAATGAAAATGTGGGCAAAAATCATCAGAATCAACTTTTTGGAACTCTAGAAATTAGCCATAGTCTCATTACAATCTGACAAGTGTTTATTCAGAAAAAAAATCAAACTGCTGAACCTCTGAAGAACTGCAGTGTTTATGGGATTTTAATTTGATCTACCGTTATCACTTTTGTCCCAGCTCTGCATTAACCTTGAAAACCAGCAGGTTCAAAACCATGGTGGCTGGGAAAAACAGTATCCTTGCAGTGACAAGCAAGGCAGATGGGGTTTGGAGCTCCCTAGAATTCCATCTGCAGGGCACTGTCACTATTAAACCCATCTCACAGCCTCTGAAACAACCCATTCAAAGTGTGCTGTTCTGATATGATTCAGAGCACCTTCTGGAGGAGAAGCCTTTCCCAAGGGCATCTGTTATAAATAATCAGAAGTAACTGCAGTCAAACAAGAACATTGGGGAGAAACTTAAAGGAAAAATAAAGGAAATGAAATGTCCATTGAGGTTTTCAAAAAGTTCTAATACATTCCTGGGCATCTAAAAAGGTGCACTAATGTGCCAGCTTGTATACATGCTTAAAAAATATATGAGAGGTTGGTTTTTTAACAGAACGTCTGGATGATTTTGAGACCCTGTGTAAATAGCAAATAAGAACACAGAGGATATAAGTATGCAGAGATGTATACTGACTGTCTGAACACTGAAGGTTTGCCCCAACACATACACTGAACCCGACAGCAAGGGTTGGAAAACTTACTTTTTGAAGGTGTTAAGGAAATCTCTGACAAATCATTAGTGAATTAACAACGTTAATGAACAGAGATTTCTGTGGTTATATACTACAGAGAATATATTCTTTACAGGATTAGTCCAGGAAAGTTACAAACAATAGGAAGGAAAAAGTGATGGCAATAACAAAACAATGGATTGAGTGAGGTTGATCTGATTTTTCAGAGCTGCCATATTATGTTACTTGAAATGTTCAGTTTTCAACAAAAAAATTATGAAACACACAAAAAAATAAAAACTCATAAACAGGAAAAAGTAGTTAATAGAAACTGACTGTGAAGTATCCCAGATTTTGGGCTTATCAGGCAAAGACTTTATGTCAGTTTTTATAAATATATTCAAAGAACCAAACAAAAACATGTTAAAAGAAATTAAGAAAAACATGAGAATAATATCTAACCAAATAAACATATCAATAAGAAATAAAAATTATTTTTAAAAATTCAAATGGAAATTCTGCTGTTGAGAAGTAAAATAACAAAATTAAAAATTCACTAGAAGGACATAACAGCAGATTGTAGTTGGCAGAAGAAAAAAATGATGAACCTTAATAAGGTCAGTTGAGATTATCAAATGTGAGGAAGAGAAAGGAAAAAGAAGAAAAATAAACAAAGCCTCAGAGACAGGTGGAACATTTTAGCATACTAATAAACACATAATGAGAATTTAAGAGCAGAGAAGGAAGTAGAAAGATTATTAGAAGAGATAATGGTTAAAACCTCCCAAATTTGATTCAAAAATATTATTCTAACATATCCAAGAAACTCAACAAACTCAAAGATGAACTCAAGGAGAGCCTCACTTATATGTACCACAGTTGAACTTTCAAAAGACGAAGACAAAAAGAGGAGCTTGAAAGTAATAAAATAAAAATTATCCATCATGTATAAAGAATATACAATAGAATTAAAACTGACTTATAAACAGAAATATGGAGAGCAGAAGGCAATGGGATGATAGATCCAAAGTGCTGAAAGAAAAAGGCTCTCGTCTGAGAATCCAACATCTGGTAAAACTATATTTCAAAAATGAAATTGAAATTAAGACATTCTCAAATAAATAAAAACTGAAGTAAATGACAATCTGTGTATATAGCTGGAATTTTCTGACCCTTCTTTGAATTGTCCTACAGAACTTTATGTTCACAGTCATAGATTAAGAAAAGATATTAGCACTTGATTTTTTAAATTATATAATTTTTACTTCTTGAGGTTTTTAAGGGGTGATTTCCAATTTTTAAAAGTGGCTGTTCCAGTCTTTAAAAGGGTAATGTTCTTTTGGGGGAACCTCAGCCTGTGTCTTAGTTACTTTCTTGTTGCTGGGACAAATTGCCCAGCACCCACAATTTAAGGAAGGAGAGGTGTATTTTGGCTCACAGTTTGTAAAGGTTTCAGTCTGTAGTCAGTTGGCTCTAAGGCAGGGTGGCATGACAGGGGGGGCTTGCTTACAGCCTGGCAGACAATCAGAGAGAGGGATCATTAAGAAGGAGGGAAGGAGACAGACTCTACCAGACCACACCCCCAGTGACCCACCTGCTCCAGTCAGGCTCACCTCCCAACATCACATTTAGCTATAAACTCTTCAGTGGACTAATCTACTGATGATTATCACACATCCATGATCTGAACACCTCCCCAAAGCCCCACCTATGAGTGCATGAAGCCTTGAGTGGGGCCTCTAGATATAAATCAAAGCAAGTTAAAAGGAGGCAGAGTGCATGAGAGAGCAGGGCATCTTCTGTGAAGGCTGGAAATACCATCTGGACTCCAGCGCTTTCTCTCTGCAGAATCCACAGAAACTCCTTCAACTTGACTCCCAATCACATGTTCTGCAAGTGTTCACTCAGAATGAAAGTCTGGATCCAAAAGTTAAATCTGTGCATATGATAATTTATAAGGTCTCATAAATAAATGAATTTGACACTGGAAAAATAAAAAGGAGGCATACAGAAGGGGGAAAAATTGAAATGTGTTATGTACCTGTGCCAAATTCCTACAGTTAATGTAATCATTATGTACTACAAACATGTACTAATAAAAGTTTAAAAATTTATAAACAACAACAAAGCCAAAAGGTAAGCTAGAATCTAGATTCCAAGCCAAAATATTGTACTAGAGGTTGAAAGCCACTGGGCGCTACATATTTGCAAATTTCAAATGGTAGCAATAATGCTGAAGACCACAACTTCTAAAACATGAAAATGTGCTTTAAAAAAATCATATTTTTTTAACAAATAAACTTTATATTTCAGGACAGTTTAAGGTTCACAGATAAACTGCACAGAAAGTACAAAATGCCCATGTGTCTTTGTCTTTTGTACCCCGCCCCCCCTCCATTTTCCCATACCCTTCCCCATCATTAACTTGCTGCACCAGAGCGGTGTGTTTGTTTCAGTCAGTGAACCCGCAGGGACACACCGTTATCCCTCAGGTCTGTAGTTCAGCTTAAGGTTCACGCTTCTAATATTTATTTTTAAATAATTAAGAACATTTTATTTACATACAACTGCACTTTCATGTTAAAGTCACTTTGAGTTTTATTGTCATTAGAAACAGTTGAATTTAGTTATGGTGATATATATTACAGAACAATTGGTAAGCTGGGTTTAGCATCTTGTCTTCCTGAACTCTTGGGTTGTAGATCCCAGATTTTGTACATGCACACAGGTGAACACACACAGATATGCGCACGCACATACAAACACACACACATCCTTAATGGTTACTGTGTGCCTCCCTTGTTCCATTGTTTATGTAGTGTTTGGCTTCGGTGAATGTCCTTACCCCATGGTCTCTGTAAAGAGTGTGGGTTAATCATTAAGGGGAGCTTAGTACTTAGGAATTGGTGTCACATTATTGCCTGGCTAGGAATACATACAATAAAAATTCTGTACATAGCTGAGAGGGATCCTTTGTGTTAGGGTTCCCTGGGAGAATAGAACCTCATAAAAGATGTGTGTGTGAGAGTGTGTGTGTGTGTGTGTGTGTGTGTGTGTGTGTGAAGGAGACTTATAATGAGGAATCAGCTCACACATTTAGGACAGCTGAACAGTTCCATATCTACCATCCACAATCTGGAGCCCCAGGAAGCCTCGAAGATGATGGACATTCCCCTACAAGTCTGAAGGCCTGAGAACCAGAAGTGCCAGGATCTAGAAAGATCACTGTCTAGCTGAGCAGACAGGCTAAAGGGGAAAATTCTCCCTTGCTCCATCTTTCTCCTTTTCAGGCCTTCAAAGGATTGGGTGATGGCCATTTGTTTTAGAGGGTGATCTACTCAGCCTGTCAGTTCAAACGCTGCTATCTTCTGGAAACACCTTCACAGACACACCTATAAATAATGTTTAGTCAAATATCTGGGCATCCTTTGATCTGGTTCATTAATGAATTAAAATTAATCATCACAGGGCCGGGGATTTAGCTCAGTAGGGCCGAGGATTTAGCTCAGTGGTTCCGGCGCCTGCCTTGCAAGCACAAGGTCCTGAGTTCAATCCCTGGTACCACCCCCCCAAATTAATCATCACTCTCTTGTGTAGCTAGAAGGGACATGACAGATATGCCTTTATAGGATATCTCTCATCAAACCTGTCATGAAGTAAAACCATGTAAAAAAGGGCAGGGATTCACTTCCTTGCCTTGGGATATCTTTATGACTTTTTCTTAAAAGTCCATTATAAAAATGATATTCTCATATAAGAGGGAAAGCTTTAGTGTATCAGAAAAATATACCCTTTAGTTGACCATATCTCTTTATTTAAATTTTATTTCCCAGAAGATAGAGAATGGACCTTTTTAGGAGACAAATATCTAGTCTGGATTCTGTACCTTATTATATCCTTGAGAAGAATTTGTTACCTCACGTGCAAATTAGGGGGGAAATATTAACTGTACAAGATTATAAAGGCTAAGAGACATCATGCATTTGGCAACCTATACAGCAGTGGAGAAATGTTAGCATTACCATGATGATGAGATAGTGTGATGTCGTTATCATTTATCAATCTTCAAGTATGAAACCAGATACATGTTTGAGATAATGGTCCCCATACTCACCAGGAATGAGAGTGCAGCCTTCACACAGG